TTAAGATTAGAAAATCCATATGTTGCTGATAGAACATAGAACGGTGATTAATGAATACTTATAAAAATAAGAACATACGAAACTGAAAAGAATAATTTTTCGCCTTACCTTGAACTGCTCCAAACTCCACTTGGCTGGCCAGTTCGATCAAGTCCCATGCGTAGGAGAGAGATCGTAGATGTCTTGGGTCAACCGGTCGCGGGAAACGACACAGCCGCGAATTTTTATGAAAAGTACCTGTACGAACTAACGAAGCGTGCGAAGTATTTTTGACAACTGTCCGACTTTGTCCGGTACCCTTTTCAGTATTTAAACGCGCGCATTTTCAAAGCCGAAGTTGGCGAAGCAAAATCATTCTTAATCATAGAACAGGCGCAATTTAATTAGAATGAAAGAAAGCATAAATAAAGAGAATAAATTAATTTCTATTCTCAAATAGGATTTACCACCCAATATACCCAACTCAAGCTACGACTATATACTATATACAGGGTGCGTAGATACAACTGAACACTGGCAACTGATTAATGGTAAATGTCAAAAAATAAATTCACCATCTACAAAAAAATGTGTTTAACCAAAAAATTTCAAAACACAAAAAGATTTCTATATTGAATAGGCCTTCTGACTGCATATTTTTTGAAAAATTCAAATTTGCAACCAAAGTTTTGGGGCTTCAAAGAAAAAGTGTCTTAAGTGGGTCCTCCATCTAAAGGCATAGCACCATCCAATTTTTCATGTCATAAAACCTTTGTGTACCAGACATAGTGATGCTCATACAACAGAGGGTTCTGAGAAATAAAAAATAAATACATAGGTACTATTCTTAGGGGCGAATTTCAGAGGGATATTCCGAAAGGGGTGGCCATTTACCAGAAATAAAAAAATACGAGTCCCCTTTAAAGAATCTATGAACAAAGTTTGTTGCATTTATTTCCGGACACACTTTATATCCTTTATACTGTCAGATTCTGCGGGTCCACTAAAAACTCACTTAACTAACAATGACTGTTATAGTTCGGATTAACAACAATATTTATTTTTGGAAAGATTTTATTAATTTCAACAGTAAAATACACTGACAATCAATATGTTTCCTAACATTTCTCTTTTTTTTTTTTTTTTTTAAATCCTCTAAATATGAAGGTCTTCTTCTTCTTAAACTTATTTCTGATTTTCTAACTTCACTATTTAAATTATATTCCCTCAGAACAGCTTCATCAGAACTAACAGTATTTGCACTACGTTTTTGACAGTCGATCATTTCCTCAGTATTTGTATTATCTGTTGTGAATTTTATTGAATTGTTATTATCTGGTATATTTTCAATGATAACACTGATCTGAGCTTTGTTCTACGTTGTCTTGCAAATTAAACTCTTCTATTAGAAAATATAATGGGATCGGACAACTTCGATTTGGTTCTTTAACATATCTTCTTTTAATTTGATTAGTATGTCAGGAATCCAACGGAACTTGTTATTTTTGTAAATTTTAGCATAAATAAAATCTTCTTTAAATTTGTTTGAAATTTCATTATTCTGGATATTTTTCGGACAAAGTAACAAATCAAGTGGAATTCTCATTCTTCTTCCTAGCATATGTTCAGCGGGAGATTTTCCATCTGGAAAATTTGGATTTGGAGTAGTCCAGTACACTCTTAGAAATATGTTTATATCTTGTAATTGCCTATGACTTCCCCCTCGTTTAATTTAAAGTGCTCTTTTAAAGGTGTCAACAAACTTTTCTGCCTGACCATTTGACTCTGGCCAATATGCTGCTATGCGAATATGTTCAATACCATTCTTCTGACAAAATTCTTTAAATTCGTTGCAAGTGAATTAATTGTCTGCCATTGTCTGATACAACTGTTTCAACAATTCCAAATTGTGAATATACTTCTTCTAATTTTGATATTGTAAAGCTTGACGTGATTGTTTTAGTTTCAAAAACTTCGGGCCACTTTGAATAGGCATCGACAATAATTAAATAATAATAATCGTTGAATGGACCAGCAAAATCTATATGAATTCGTTGCCATGGACCCTTTGGAACAGGCCATGCTACTGGAGAAATTTTTGATGGACTTCTTGAAACTTCTGCACATTCTTTGCATGTTCGCACAAAATTGATAATATTCCTGTCCATATTTGGCCAGTGAACATATCCACGAGCCATGGATTTTATTTATTTTTGTCAGGATGACCAGTAAGTAGAATTTCAAAATTTCAATGGTATGACTATTCTGTCTCCAAACATTAAACAACCTTTAACAACGGATAATGAGTCTCGTCTATAATAAAAATTAAGTGCATAATTTTCAATATCCTTGGGCTGAAGAAGGCTGAATAGATAGATAGATAGCTTATTGCTCCAAGATAGGAACGTAGAGTGTTGATATCATGGGGCGGTGGCATATTTCTGATAGCTTCAGTTTTTGCTGGATCTGGTTTCAACTCGCCTTCACTTAAAATGTATCCCAAATACTTAATTTCTTTGACTCCAAATTTAAATTTTTGTAATTTTAAGTGAAAACCAAACTCCTTCTATACGCCTTAGGATAAGATTTAAATTTTGAAAATGTTCTTTCTCTGATTGGCCTGATATGTGCCGTGCTTCCTTTCAGACCTGATAACATGGTATCCATAACTAGTTGTAAAATGGCTGGGGCAACTTTTATACCAAATGGCATTCTATTGTATTGAAACAATCCATGGTGAGTGTTTATTGTTAAATATTTTTTTGATTCTTCACTGATTTCAATTTGAAGGAAAGCATCAGAAAGGTCCATGATACTGAAAATTGTAACACTTTTTCAACTGTTAGAAGAGGGTAATGATGTAGTAGAAGTCCTTCATTCAGAACAGTCGAGAGACCAGTAGAGAAATCGCCAAATAATCTGACATCTCCGTTTTGTTTCTTTGTAACTACAATTGGAGCTGCCCAATCAGAATGTTCAACTAATGATATGATATTTTTTCTTGTAACCTTTGAAGTTCTTGGTCAACTTTATCCATGACTGAATAAGCTACTGATCTTTTTGCTTTGAAGATAGAAACTGCATCCTCTTTTATATGAAGATTAACTTTGGTTTCTTACAGTGACCTAATGTTTCTTGAAAAACTTTAGGAAAGGCTAATTTTAATGATTCTGCATTGATTGAAAGATATTTTGATTTAACAACATTGCAGGCTGAATTGAATGGTACGTTCCATAAGCCAAATTTTGTGATCCAATCTATACCCAGTAAATTGAGATTAGGTATTGAAGTGATAAAAGATTTACCTTGAAAACTATTTTGTTTGAAGCTTATAGTGCATTGAAATTCTGTTCTTAAATTAATTTTATCACCTGAAGGGCTTTTGGTATCATGATTTGTGGGCTGACACTCTGGTTTTCCTATATTTGTCCATGTTTCTTGTGAGATAACCGTGATATCTGAAGCTGTATCAATGTCTAAAATATTTTTGTCGTCTTCTGTAAAAAGGCTTTGATATATTTTGTACCATACATCAAAAGTGCTCCCTGTTTCCTGATCATAATGAAATTCTGTGAGACTATTACCCAGGGTTTCCCTCCGAAACTCTTCATTTGGTTTGGCTTGATTTTGAGTTAAATTTTGGAAATTTGATGAAAACTGACCCAAAAAATCTTGCTGACTTTTGATTAGAAATTCTTGTTGATTCTTTAGGAAAGCTGTGAGAACTTCTCCGTCATTCGTTCCATGTTCATTATCCTACCGACTGCGCCAAATTGTTGTAGTTCGGATTAACTACAACAATATTTGTTTTTGAAAAGATTTTATTAAATTCAACCTTTAAAATACAATGACAATCAATATGACAAAAATCAAAACTCGACTTGCTGGTTAACATACTTTCAGGTATGTCCTGGTACTTCTGGTACTGTTTCCTAACAATAACAACTTTCAATTGAATTATCAACTTCATAAACTTAACTAATCACTACCATTATCATCGCTTTTATGTCTTATTCAAACCCAAGGTTGTTTGAGAGAGGTAGGTTGCCTGATAACTTTTATGAGGTCATCTGGGGTGCCTCAACATAATGCAAATGCAAATCTCATCTATTAGGCACCCCAGATGACGTCATCAATTTACCCACTACCAGACATAATAGGTTGTTTAGGAAGCTTGATTCAAACCCTCCTTTAAACAAAATTGAATTACAGAAGAAAAAATTTAAACAACGTAGATCCGGGAAAAGTTCGAAAATAAAAAATTTCCCCATATGTAGCGAACATTATGGGGGACACTGTATATTTCCTTAATTTGATCGAACCCCGAAAGTCGGTTTTTTGATGAGTTTTCCAATTTTCTTATCGGGTCTTGTGGTACAACCTAGACTAGAGAACACAGATTGATTGATTAAATGCAAAAAATTTGCGGAAATCATCTTAATTATTGAAACATACCCTAACCTAGGGTAAGAGTTATAACTGGGGTGACCCAAACGCTTTCCAAAACTGTCAAGGTAAAATTATTGACGTCATACCGTCTGACTCATCGTTCATAAATTCAGTCGGTGATTCCCCCAGGCGCTCTGAAATCACCGCACAATCGCCCGACCTGTTGAATCGACAATACCTAAGCGCGAAAAAATGCATAGAGTCATCCGTAGTCGATAAAAATTTCACATTGTTTTATCTACTGATACTGATAAGAGCCTTTTATATCTCCCAATCCCGTTTAATAAACATTTAATTATACTTTTTGAAAAGAATCAAATCATAAAGAAACATGACATCATCAACTTGTAACGTCATGATTACCAATTATCAACTTACCTCGCCTCAATGACCTCGCCCTTATACCTTACCATTGCCCTACATTCATAAACGCGCTAAATAAAAATCGTTTTAGATATTTATCTAATTTGTCTTTTTTCAATCGTGTTCATTGAAGTAAGATGAAAAACAAACTGCCTGTGATTAATCCGATCAACGTTTCCGTAAAGCCCTGTTGAGTTACCGAAACGTATTGTTTTATTTGTAACAGGTTTTTTTGTGAAAAAAAAAGAGTGTCAAATTTTCAATCAACCAATTTTTGGCTCTTGTTATTATTTTTACTAATTGTTTGATAGCCAAACACTGAAAAAAAAAAACAGTCAATTGCACAACTAATTCGATTTTCCGCAGTTGTTTCCCGAAGTTGAAGGACATTTTTTTAAAATTAAGTCCGGACCTGTTAAAGCGGTTCGCGGATCCTCGCTGCCAAATGGTCGAGATTCGTTCTCCTGAGTTTCCATTGATTTATTGTTCGCGAGGCAGGCGCAGGGCGCAGTATTTGGTGTTTTCTCCATGATGATGATGTTTTAGTTTTATCCATTTGGGTTTAATATAGTGTAGACCATAGAGGAAATTTCAGAATTTTCTGTTATTTGTGTTGAAAATTATTTGTTTTTGGTGAATTTGCAATTATATCAATAATTCAAGGTAAGGAAACGATTTTCTATATTAGTATGGGTGATTCAAGATTTATATTTCACTTTTATCAAACCAAATACGTCAAGTTAACCTAACCTTTTAAACTTCCAGATAATACCTACAAAATGCACAGGAATGTGGATCAGTGGTGTCCTGAAAAATCCTTTCTAAATTCATTAAGAGATGTACTGCAAGAGGCTTTGATTCCAGACAGTGAGGTGCAGAAAAATGTCCAGGAAAAACTTGGCTACATTCAGAACATGCCAGACTTTACCTTCTACCTTCTTTATGTTCTTGGAGAGCCTTCCTTCCCAGATGATATCCGATCTTTAAGCGGAATATTATTGAAAAACAATCTTCTTACAACATATCCAACGTTAACCCGAGAAGGTGCTTCAAAATTAAAGCAGCAATGCCAATATCTACTGATGGATCCTTCAAGAGATGTAAGATTAAGTATTTCTAATGTTATAGTCAGTATTGCAAGAGATAATTTGAAAGATTGGGAAGAAATAATACCATTTTTAATTAAAGCATTTACTGCCCAGAATGAATTTAGTGAAATTGCTTTGATAACATTATTCAAAATTTGTGAAGATCTGATTACGTATCAAAAAAGCCAAGAGGAAATTCATGGTATTACCAAAGAAGTATTTCCAAAATTTATCGACTATTTATGTAAAGACGATTGTAGAATGCATCAAGACATTCTAAGACTAACAAATCAATGTTTGCAAGATCATTTCAATATTATGAAGCAATCATTGGATTTGGGCTTATATTTACGCCACGTAATCCGTTTAGCTGACACTGATGATGCTGAATTGCAAAAATATGTTTGTCATACTTTTACAATTTTTGTTGACAAACAAGAGGAATCTCTTCTTCCCCATTTACATGATGTAATCATGTATTTATTGAACAAAAGCCAACATGAAGATGCCGAAGTTGCTTTACAAGCCTGTGAATTTTGGTTGGCAATAACAAAAGTATCAACTTGCAAAGATATTTTATCTGCTTACATAAACAAATTAGTGCCGATATTACTGAAAAATATGAGATATTCAGAAACAGAATTAAATATTATGAGAGATTATCTAGGTTCCGATGCTAATACTAAAGATTTGGCTAAAGATATTGCTCCATTTCATGGTGCGACACATAGAAATATTGAAGAAGATGAATTAAGTAATGAAGACAATGCTGCAAATGAAGATTTTGACGATTTTTACATGGGATGGACTCTAAGAAAATGCAGTGCTGCTTCTTTGGATTCTATAGCAGTCAAATTTAGAGAAGATCTTCTGCCTATTATTGTGCCATATCTTAGTGAAATGTTGAATCATAATGATTATTTAGTGAAGGAAAGTGCAATATTAGCTCTTGGTGCTATAGCAGAAGGGTGTATCATTGGTCTTAGGAATCAACTGCCTGACCTTATTCAGTTTTTACAAGCTTCCATGAACGATGGGCATTCAGTTGTGCGTGTAATAACTTGTTGGACTCTGAGTCGATATGCTTCCTGGATAATTAATGTAAGACCTGACTCACCTAATATGTATTTCATCCCTATAATGATACTTATTTTAAAACATTTCGTGGATAATAATAAAAGAGTGCAGCGCGCTGCTATTTCTGCCTTTTGCATCTTTCAAGAAGAAGCTCAAATGAAACTAATTCCCTACATTAATATAATTGTAGAAGGTTTTTTGTTAGGGTTTGAAAGGTTTCATTGTAGAAGTTTGTACTTGTTATATGATGCTATTGGAGCTCTAGCTCAATCAGTAGGTAACCATTTGAATGATCCAGAATATGTTTCCAAATTGCTACCACCCTTAATGCAAAAATTTACTCAGTGTGATAATTATTTTGATGATCATTTTATTGCAGTTTTAGAATGTTTGGCAAACCTTATTCCTTCTTTAGAATTGTCTTTTCTTCCATATGCTGAGGTAGTTTTTTGGCATTGTTTGCAATTAATGCATGATACTTTAATTTCTTGTCTCAATTTTCAAGAACATCCCAATGAATATGATCCGCCAGATAAAGAACCAATGAGTGTCGCTCATGACGTTCTCTATAGCATGGCTTTAGGGTTGAAAGGTCATTTTGTCAAATTTGTCACCAATAGTAGTTTGCCATTTGTGCTCTATGCAACAATTCAAGATAGTTCCGTAATAATAAGGCAAACTTCTATTGCTTTGTATGGAGAGCTTATATCATTATGTTACCCATATCTATCTTCAAATGTCAATGATTATATTCCTTTAATAATTAGAAATTTGGATGAACAAAATGATGGAGTATGCAACAATGCTGCATGGGTTATAAGTAAATTATGTTCAGTTATGGGTCCAAGTATCCAACCATATGCTCCAGATATAATTCTGCGTTTCATTAATATTGTTAAAGATCCGGCTGTTGCCAGAACCATGCATCAAACTGCGGCAATTGCGTTGTGTACTACTTTATTCGTTTGTCCTGATGTTAATGTCCCCAATTTGGATGTTATTTTGAAAAACTGTTGCATACTTATAAGAAATGTCAGAGATTCTGATGAGAAGGATTTAGCGTTTAGGGGTTTATGTGCAATGATCGTTAGATGTCCTGATTTTAACAACAAGTACTTCATATTTTTCTGCGATGCTGCTGCTTCCTGGTTCAATATAAAACCAGATTTGAAAGATAATATCAGAAATGTGATGATGTCATTTCAAAATGATTGTAGAGAAAACAGCTGGGCCCAGTTTTCCGGTCAATTTCCTAGTAATCTTAAAGCAAGACTACACGAATTATATGGGGTTTGATAAACCTACACTTATTTAGCTAGGGGATTAAAAAGATTTGTGGGAATGCTTGAGTGCGCCTGCCTTAAATTTAAACTTTTAAAATTGTTCTCAATATGATACAGGTGGGAAGTTTTCAGATATACAGAATCTCTCAGTTTACAAACAAGTGACTTTAAAATTGGGGCCCCCTATTTTGATGAAATGCTTCGGGAGATAACTAAGAATTTAAGTTACTTTTTCATTTGTGGTTCACTAAGGTAAAGTAAAACAAAAACAAATGGGGTTATATTTTTATATAAAGTACCTAATTATATTAGCGCGGTAATTGAACAAAAACTATTATTTTAATATTTCCACTCACTAGTTTAATTTTTCCAAAAGTTATTTTTGGGGTTTTGTTATCTATTTTTCAAAATCTAAATAATGCAGGGTAGTAGCAAAGTAAGACTTGAAATTGTTTTGATATTTATCGTCCCATAGTCCCTGTAAACAACAGACTTCTACCTTTATACGTAGTGTGGTCATGTTTTTTGTATTCTATTTCTCAATAATTCATCATTATTTGGGAAAGAACAAACATCCTCAAAATTGGATTTCTTGAAAGTGGCCTTATTGGAATTTGTTGATTACATGGAGTATGTACAGGATTATTGGTTGTAAGTGGACCACCCACTTAACTCGTTTATTTTTGTAGTAGGTAAGAAAAAATGAAAGCTAATTTGTTTAAACAGGCTTCCATCTAATTCATACAGGGTGATCCAATTTACCAGTATAATATTATTTTTTCTGTTAGATATTTTCTTCCTGATTCGAAATATACAGGGTGGCCACACGAAAACGAAACAAGCTACTTTTCGTGTACTTCCAGTTTTTGTTTTAATTGATTTTAACCGTCGATTTAGTTTCTGAAGGGGAAAAATTTTCCTCATTATTATTTACTAAGCAACTCTACCCCTTAGCGGGGGTGAGTGGCACCTTCAAAATTGTAATTGTGTTTCGACGGCCTTTTTACTCTTATTACCTTCTCGAAGTTTGAAGTCGCTGTTATCATCCCTAATTAAATGACAGCTTGTCAAAGTTTTCACAAAAAATTTCGAAAAGAAACCAACTACTTCTCGGGTAGGTACTTTCGTGAATTATAATGAAGAAAATGTTTTCCCTTCCAAAACTAAATCGGCTCGTAGGAGCAATTTGAAAATAAAAAAAAAAACTGGAAGTACACGAAAAGTAGCTTGTTTCGTTTTCGATTGGCCACCCTGTATATAGTTTGTTGGGTCTATCCTAAATAAGATATTTTTCACTTATTACGTTTTATTTCAATATTATTTTCCGTTGGTCAGTATAGAAGGCCATGCTTGCTACAACGCTATTTCTATAGTGGGTGGTCAATTTATAACCAATAACCCGGTATACTACATATTTTTAGTTGTAAGAAATACACGTTTTTAATTTATTCTCCTAGTTGAATGTTTATGACATGTGCCAAATAATAAAGCCAAAACATTTCTACTATGTATTGTTTTCCTGAGTGTGAGTGCTTTATTACCTACTTACTGTGAATTTATCATTTAACATTTTTGTCATACTTATTACTTATATCGTTATTTTTACTAATTCAATTATTTAGCTACTTGTTTTATATTTATCATTTAGATATATGTATTATTGCTTATGTAGGGTGACAATTTGAAAACTTGCGATGTGCTGAACTCTGTACTGACTAAAATGTGTTGGTTTTTAAAATATAGAGCCAATAGCAAATTTTCAAATTATTGTTCCCATTGTAGCTTCATTTACCCTTTATGCAGTATTATTTACTCAACTAGGTATACTTAGAATATTATTTGCCTTTTTACTTTTTCATTTATGAATTTGACATTTTTAATAAAAAAATCTTATTCCTATTGAGTCAGTTACGTTAATTTTGTTAGAAAAGAAGTTCTATGTCTTATGTTTCACGTACACTCCTAGAGTTGACTCAGTTTTGTATTTTTTTTTAGGCAATAAACGTTTTTTCATAATGTGATGCATTAGTTTTATTTTTTTTTCGGCATTATAGAATATAGATTACCAACATATATTTTTTAACATTTCAATATACCAAGAGTTTCCTACAAACTGAAGCCTTATACCGAGTCATTAGACAATTAGGTAAGTACTAAACATGGAAAAGTTTTCAAGCTTTGGCAGGAATTAGCAAATATCAAATTAATGTTGAATCTAGAACATTTTTAAAAATGAAATTATGAGCAACGATAACTTCCGGGAGAAAATTGAAGAAGCTGTTGTAATATGAATGAATAACAAATATCGTTATTCATAAGCCTCCAAATAGTTTTCAGATTTGCTTTGGAACATTTGTTTTCTTTTTTTTAATTCCTCGGTTGACTTGAATGGTTGCAAACCTAAAATAACATAAATGGCTTAGCATGTTTTTTTATAACTTCTCTATTTTAGCAAGGAAGTTTGGATATAAATAGAGACTGGCTAACAAATCCACTTACAAATTTCCTCCAAGTTTCAGTAAAATTCCTGTAGTAATTTCCAATTTCCTAATATTCTTAAATACAAAAACAAATGTATGGGAAAATAGACATAAAACAAATTTGGGCAACTAGCCAGATGCCTAAAACACATTCCCATACTAAAATCATGTTCTTTGATGCCGTCATTTTCCATATTTACGACGCAGAACAAATACTTGGCATATGACCAATGTAGCCCTGGAAAAACAATTGTATGTTCAGTTAATCAACAAAATTTTATTTGATTTTAATTCACCGTTGCTAATGCCCATTCATAAAACCGCCTACATGAATTTTATTTTGGCTTTTCTCAAATGACTAAAGCAGAAATCAGCAAATTCAAAATACCTACCTAATGCAGATAGCAAAATTTCATGACCACAACCCAGGATAATTAGGTATAGGGTTCTGGCGGAAAAAAATCCAGGTTTCTGAAAAGAATCTGATAAATGAATATAGTCTTTATTCAGACGGTATTTTGACAACATAACATTAATGAAATATAACAGAGAGTGTGTAAATTAAACAAATTAATGTATAAATATTAATTAATAGCTAACTCAACACGTGTAGGTATGTGTCATTTTGGTACCTTTATGAAACAGAAGGAAAAAATATTTCAATTTATTGTATTATGTAGTTATTCAACAGAAGAAAAATAAAATGATAATAGTGAACACAAAACTGAGCCACTGCACTGCAACAAACAAACAAAAAAAACAAAAATAGGTTCACTTTTTTTTATTAAATATAACCAAATTAGAATTGGAAGAACTTTTCCAATACTTTTTGGAATCTCCTGGAAACGTAGACAGCGTCAAAATAATGTAGAAGTTCCAAAAATTCTTGCGCCTATTTGTATAGTAGTAAGTAAAATATTTATTTATCTGGTTCAGGTAATGAAAAAATGCTCCAGATTTTAGTACTGGTACCTACATATATTACATATATATTTTCAAGAAAGCCCCATCGTGATTTTGGGTTAATTGGTCTCTGAAGATAACTTGATTTCATCCCTGCCAATCAAATTGCAATTGATTTGATTATTTTTTTTTCAGAAAATGCCCTCCTCATTTATACTCGCCTTTGATTAAGATAATTATAGAAGAGATAAGAAGTTGCTGTAAACAGAACGCCCATAACTATGGATTTAATTTAACAGATAATGGTGAGTATAGAGCCTTTAATTTTATCAGGGATAAGAGCACGAAAGCTTCAAAATTAACGAGAATTTTTCACTATTGCGTATTTTCTATAAATACTAGGTCATGAGCGCGCTTCGCGCGCTTTTTTTTTAAATCAAGTCCATCAAAATAATTATAAAATGGAAAATATTTATTAGGTGTTGTACAAAAAACAGCATAATTTTTGATTTAAATGTACATTATACATTAAATGTAACAGTGAGATAAGTTGTATAGATGTTATTCTAGTGAAGAAATTTCAAATGCGATGGATGGAGTTGGTGACTAATTATTTTTGTATGGTATATCATAATGATTTTAAATCGATCACATTTCTTGAATGTACGGTGTGCGTATGTCTACTTATCTCATTCTGTTTTATGGAACTCGTAGGTGTAGGTATACATTATTCGAAGTGGTTTATTTAAAACAGAATAATCATAACCATAATCAAGGTGTTATTATAAACCGAGTTAGTAACTATTTATGTGCTGTGGTATAATACGAGATATCGAGTCTTAATTTTTTTTTTACATTTTCATGAAGTTCCTTTTTTTTTATTAGGCCAGTTATTGAAGTCTACTCGATCAACATTTTACTGCAAACAATCGAAAAAAAAAATTTTTTAAAAGATTTTAAATTCAATTGCTCAATTATTCAACTTCATTTTTTGTTTGTACCTACGTGGTAGACATAAATTTTAAATGTGATCAAAGTAGTTGGTGAATTATTACTTTTGCGGTACATCGTAATGACTTTAAATCGATCTTATTTTTTGAATATACGGTGTGCATATGTCCAGTGCAACTTATTCTATTTTATGGAACTCGTAAGAATCCAAAGTTTAAAGAGTGCTAAGTCTTCATGTCGTTCTTCGTTATTTTCAATCATTTATGTTTATCGTGTTCAGGTTTTTGTCTTGTGATCTTCAAATATCTTGTAAATAAGTTGTGAAGATCTTCTGAAATCATCTATGACTGCGAAATTTCAAAATTAAATTATCAAAAAAACAATTCTTTAAAAACATGGTTTTTGACAACACTATTGCCTCTTTGTTTCCCTGAATAAAGTTTGAATGAGTCCCACGAACGAACTCTGAAAAGCGCCACATAAAGTTGTCCGTGACTAATACATCCTTTCTGGAGATCAATTACTATCCTATCAAATGTTTGTCCTTGAGATTTGTTAATCGTAACTCATTGCAAAGGCTAATTTTATTTTAAAATTGTCTTTGTTTGAACGTAAAGGGGTAGACGTTTTCGCAGTAGAGTGTTATTCGATTTATGAACACTATTTCTCCCTGTTTATCTACAGTCAATATCTCACAGCGTAACAGATTATCCCCAAGTTCCAGAACTAAAGGCCTTGTACCATTGCAAAGGCCTGCACTGATGCTTAGATTTCTAATAAGCATACAATAGAATTCGTTTTCAATCGTAAATCATGGAGCGGGAATTCGGCGGATTAAGCGAATTTAAATATTTTGGAAGAATAGCATCATTTAGATCACTATTATCACAGTTCTTGACACTATCTATACTGGTGTAGAGTTTTTCGGTCTTGACGTCCAACAGTTCGACAACTTATTCGTTTATTTCTTCGACATCAACATTTCTTGCAGAAAGTATTGCAGATTTGGTCAAGTCCCTGAATCTTCCTTCTTTTAGTATTGTTCGTCGACTTTTCGTATGAGGAGCGAGGGGGTGAAGCGAAAACCAGGGGTGACCTTAGGTGACCATTGGCGTTCAAATGTAGGGTGCCACCAGCTCACATTCCTTTCGAGTATTAGATTAAAATCGACGGACTTTACTTCTCATAGATGTTTTCAACAATATCCGAATTATCAATACATTTCTCCGACAATTTTAGATTGTCGTTAGAATCATTTAGTGTTCGTTATCGCATAAAAATGGCTCAATTTCAGCAATAAGTGCTTAATATTGGCCTTTAAGGCGGCAACCGTTCGAGATTTGTCAACATAGACTTTGGATTTTAGAATGCCCAGAGAAAAAAATCCAGTGACGTTAGGTCGGCCAATTGTGGATTCTGAAGGACGATCGTTGACATCATAAATTGCACGGAGTGCACGAAACGTTTTCCGAATAGAACATTGGTTTTGATAATGATAATAATTTTTAACAATTCCGACGCGTTGCTCAATCGTGTAGCGCTCCATAATAAAATGCAGAGACTAATTGAATACGGCTGCCAAAGATAGCACCTGTGTGACTATCGAGTTTTTCATGGGCTATTGTCAAACATCGAGCGTTACTATTGGAAAACCCTATACATACCTAGATTCTTCTATTGGACCTCGAAAAAATATTAAACCACTTCCTTGCTTTGAAAAACAACCATCTACAGAGCAATATCTAATAGCACAGCTAATAGGCATATTGTCAGAGAATTGTCACATAAGTAACAAATTCACAGTCCTTCACAAAGATGCAACCGAGGAGAACATTGAAAATGCCGAAGCAAACTTCAACGCTAATGCTTGTGATTATTGTGAGCTTTGAGATCCGCTAAAATTCAACCCTTTCCAGATTTTCCAGAATTTTTCCGACCCAATCCAGAAATTTCCATGCGTTTTCCAGACGTTTCCAGAAATTTCCAGACTTTATCCAGATTTTTCCAGACTTAGCTAGACTTTATGCAGACTTGTCAAAATTTCTCCAGACCTTATCAAGCCTTTTCCAGAGGTTTCCAGACATTTCCAGACTTTCCCAGACTTTATCCAGACTTTTCTAGACTTGGCTGGATTTTTCCAGACTTTATCCGGACTTGTCTAGATTTCTCCAGACCTAATAGAGCCTTTTCCAGACGTTTCCAGAAATTTTCTGGCTTTTCCAGACTGTATCCAAACTTATCCAGACTTTTCCAGATTTAGCTAGACTTTATCCAGACTTGTCTAGATTTCTCCAGACCTTATCCAGCCCTTTTCTGACCTCTCCGGACTTCTCCCAAACACTTTCCCGACTTCAAATACACTTTTCCAGACTTTATCCAGACTTGTCTGAATTTCTCCAGACCTTATCAAGCCTTTTCCAGACGATACCAGAAATTTCCAGGCTTTTCCAGACTTTATCCAGACTTTTCTAGACTTGGCTAGATTTTTCCAGACTTTATCCAGACTTGTCTAGATTTCTCCAGACCTAATAGAGCCTTTTCCAGACGTTTCCAGAAATTTTCTGGCTCTTTTCCAGACTTTATCCAAACTTGTCTGAATGTCTCTAGACCTTATTAAGCCTTTTCCAGACGTTTCCAGAAATTTCCAGGCTTTTCCAGACTTTATCCAGATTTTTCTAGGCTTAGCTAGATTTTTCCAGACTTTATCCAGACTTGTCTAGATTTCTTCAGACCT